AAGCAGTGGTATCAACGCAGAGTACTATACCCATTAATCGTTCGCCCTTCTTATGTATTGGGCGGTCGTGCGATGGAAATCGTATACAACGATAAAGAGCTTGATGTATACATGAAGGAAGCCGTAGTAGCATCTAAGGAGCATCCTGTTCTTATCGACCGTTTATATGGTTGGTATGGAGGTAGAGGTTGACGCTATTTCCGATGGTACCGATGTATGTATCCCTGGTATTATGGAACAAATCGAACGCGCCGGTGTTCACTCTGGTGACTCCATTGGCCGTTTATCCAGCTCAACATTTGAGCCAAGAATTGATTGATCAAATCGTTGATTATACACGTCGTATTGCAGTAGGCCTTAATGTTAAAGGTGTACTTAATATTCAATATATCGTGGCTGATGGTGAACTTAACGTTATCGAAGTTAACCCTCGTTCTAGCCGTACTGTACCATTCATTTCTAAGGTTACAGGTATCAATATGGTAGAATGTGCAACACGCATTGCCCTTGGTGAAAGCTTAAAAGACTTAGGCTTACCACTTGGTCTTGTACCTAATAAACCATATGTAGCTGTAAAAGCACCTGTATTCTCCTTCTCTAAAATGGGTCTTGTAGAAATCGCTCTTGGACCTGAAATGAAATCTACTGGTGAGGTTATGGGGATTGGTCGCACATATTCTGAAGCTTTATTCAAAGCTATCAATGGTGCCAACATGCATATCCCAGAGGATGGTACAATCCTTATGACTGTTGCAGACCGCGATAAAGAGGAGGCTAGTCAATTAGCAAAAGGCTTTATTGATTTGGGCTATCATATTGAAGCAACTGGTGGTACTGGTAAATACTTCAAAGAACATGGCGTTGACTGCAAGGTAGTTAACAAAAATCTCTGAAGGTAATGATAACTGTGCTGACCACATTCGTCAAGACAAAGTCGATCTTGTACTTAATACATTGACTGCAGGGAAACGACCTGAACGCGAAGGATTCCAATTGCGTCGTCTTGCTGTAGAAATGGGTACACCATGCTTAACAAGTCTCGATACAGCACGGGAAGTATTGCGTGTTGTGGCGAATCGTAAAGATGATGCGAACTACACTGTAGAAGCATTACAAGATTTTGAATTGGAGTAAAACCATGAGTGGCTATGTAGAACAGGGCGAAGTCGTTCGCAATGAGCAAATAGGCTCTGATGTGTGGATTATGGATATTCACGCACCAAAACAGGCAGCAGAAGCAAAGGTAGGACAGTTTTGTAATGTTCGCGTAGCGGACTCTACGGCGCCATTATTGCGCCGCCCTATTAGCTATGCTGGATTTGATGCCCGAAAAGGGTACGATTACCCTTTTGTATCGCGTCGTAGGCAAGGGGACTGAAATTATGACACGTCTCGTGCCTGGTGATACATTAGATTGTTTGGGACCTTTGGGCGAACCGTTTGTAACATCTAATAATATGCTTCTCGTTGGCGGTGGCGTTGGTATTGCACCGATGCTATGTATCGCCTCTCATTTGCAAAAAGGTGAAGAAGCACAAGTTATTCTTGGTTTTAGAAATGAAAGCGAAACCTTCTGGGCTGATTTATTTAAAGATAGGCCTGTTCAAGTCCACATCACTACTGATGATGGTAGCGTAGGTACAAAAGGTTTCCCTACAGCAATCATGCCTGACCTAATTAATGCTAATTCGTTTACTTCTGTTATGACTTGTGGTCCTATGCCTATGATGAAAGGCGTAGCACAAGTGGCTAAAGAACTCGATGTGCCATGCCAAGTATCTTTAGAAGAGCGCATGGGATGTGGTACGGGCGGTTGCTTAGGTTGCGCTTGTGATGGTGCCGGTGGGCAAACGTTATAAAGTTTGTAAAGATGGTCCTGTATTCCCAGCTGAGGAGGTGTTCTTTTAATGAGTGAACGCGATTTAAATAACACCGTTACACCTAATCCAAAGCTCGCCATCGATTACTGCGGGATTAAGATGAAAAATCCTATTATCGCTGCATCTGGTACCTTTGGTAATGGCCCTGAATATGCAGGTTACCTTGATCTAAGTAATGAAGTAGGTGCTATTTCTGTAAAAGGATTAACACCTAAAGGTCGTCATGGTAATCCTAGCACTCGCATTGCAGAAACACCATCTGGCGTATTGAACTGCATTGGCCTTGAAAATCCTGGGGCTGAATATTTTGTTAGAGAAATTCTACCGGATCTTAAGAAATATGATGTACCATTGCTAGCGAATATGTCTGCTGGTACGGTAGACGAATTTGCGTGGATGGCAGAAACACTATCTGTAGATGGTATTGCAGGCCTTGAAGTTAATGTATCTTGCCCAAATGTTGCCTGTGAAGGCATGGCTTTTGGTATAGATCCAAAGGTAGTAGAACAGGTAACAAAAGCGGTTCGTAAAGTAACAGATAAGCCTGTTATTGTAAAACTTTCACCAAATGTTACGGATATTGTGGAAATTGCAAAAGCTGTTGAAGCAGGCGGTGGCAATGGGGTAAGTCTCATTAATACCTTGTTGGGTATGGCTATAGATATTCACCGTCGTAAACCTGTATTGGGGAATATTTATGGTGGATTATCTGGCCCAGCCGTAAAGCCCGTGGCTCTTCGCATGGTTCATCAAGTTTATAAAGGGGTAACTATTCCTATTATTGGTCTTGGTGGTATCATGACTGGCACAGATGCTATCGAATTTATGATGGCAGGGGCGCAAGCTGTTCAAGTTGGTACAGCTACAATGGTAGATCCAACAGCAATTTCACGTATTGCCCGTGAAATGAGCGAATATGTAGAACAATATAATCTTAACAGCATCACTGATATTGTAGGTGCTGTTCATCAAGTATAACAGCGTCATATGTACGGCGAACTTAAACAACCATAAGATTTGTCGTTATATAGGATATGATACAAAAAGACCTAGCACATTCAGTACTAGGTCTTTTCTTATGTATTGAATTGGTGTATATAATTGCATAGGCACCAATTATATAGCATAGTATGGTAATAATATGTATAATTATGATTATACATATGCTTTGTAGAAGTCGATAAATTGCTGCGCTACTGGGGAAAGCGCATGGCCTTTAAAGCGTGATAAAAGCTTTTTTGAAATCTCCCGAGAATTCTGGCAATTTAATGCGGGCCATTTTGCGATGATTGATAAGTTCCTTAGCGTCCATTGGGACTAAAGAAACTGTACGACCAGAAGAGGCCCACTCAATAGCTGAGCTTTTTGTTGTAGTTATAGCTACCGCATTAAGTTGCTCCATATCTGTTAAGCTAGATTGCATAATCATTCGGACAGAGCCACCAGAAAGGGATAGAGGACATTTTTTTATGTCTTCCCACGTGATGGTATCATGCTCACGATCTGTCCAGAATACATCACGGCGGAAAATAGCGTATAAATGCTCTTCTTGGGTAAGCAGGATATCGAATTTATCGATATCTACCATTTGAATATTGGCGATACCTAATTCGGCGCTACCGTTGATGAGTTGGGTCACTACATTTGTCATAAGTCCTTCATAAATTTCAAAATGGACAGATGGATATTTCATGGAAAAAGCTGGTAAATATTGCTGTACGATTGGCGTTGAACGAGATGCAGATGTCGCAATGCGTAAAGTACCTTCAATGCGTGAATTCAATTGTTGTACAGCATTATATGTAGATTCTTCAATAGAGCAGAGTTGTTGCGCCTTTTTCGTAGAAGATTTTACCAGCATCTGTTAATTGCAAGTTTGATCCTCGTTGACCGCGTTTAATGTTGATTAATTGAGCCCCAAATTCAGCCTCTAAATATTTCAACTGCTTACTTAACGCTGGTTGTGTAATATGAAGAATCTCTGCGGCCTGTGTCATATTGCCCGTTTGAATAAGGGTAATAAAATTGTGGTAGTAAGATGTATCCATAGAATCTCCCTATTATACACATAATATGATAAATAAAAATTATAACGAACTAAGTAACGGTCATTTCACATTTAATAAAATGCTATATATACTAAATTCAACAAAGTAATAGAAAGTAAATTGAGTTTTAAATTATCTTTCTATACTTATCACAAATTTTGATATACAACAAGAGTTAAGAAAGTAGGTACTACTATGGGCGTGGTAAAAAGAACCTTAGGTCAAGCAATTCGTAATTGGGAAGCACGTAGATTAATGACGGCTCGTAATAAAATTAGCCGGAAAAAACAATTAGAACGAGTATGGCCTTATCCTATGACTAAGGAAAAACGTCGTGAACTCGGTCAAGGCATAGCCGGTTTAGTTAATAACGGCAATTAAAAGTTTGGAATCTACTAACTAGATTATTTATCTAGTGGTAGTACCCACCTCAATAGAATCTAATACAGTACAAGTAGCAGCTCCATGACTTATGTCTTGGAGCTCTTTTTGTATGTGCTCTACATCAGTAGGTGGTATTAGGATTGTTATGTCTACATATTCACCAAAGCTTGCTTCATAATGTAATTTTTCGTCCTGGACATATCTTTCTACTGCTCCATACAGCGAATAGTCAATCTTTGCTTGTAGTCGGGTTCGTGTTGTATGTAGTTCTTTAGGCGCAAGGACGTAAGGTTTCCGCAACGGAGTGTGAATAGGCCCGAATCAAGCCACCAGCGCCCAATTTAATACCTCCAAAATAACGCGTTACGACGACGGCTACATTGGTAATGCCAGTCTTTTTGAGTACTTCTAGCATTGGTTTCCCTGCTGTACCTGATGGTTCTCCATTATCGGAAGATCGTTGTTGTTCTTGTTGTGGTCCTAATGCATAGGCTGTGCAGTTATGACGTGCATCCCAGAATTCTTTATTGATGCGGCTTATAAAGGTTTGGGCTTCCTCTTCAGTCTTGCAAGGATATACAGTTGTTATAAACCGTGATTTTTCAAGCAGTGGTATCAACGCAGAGTACTTCGCTACCGAAGTAAATTCTACCGTAGGGCTTATTGATTCAGACATATATTCACCTCCTTTGGAATCAAAGTTTATGTTTATTCATCATTACTTTATTATAATCTATTTATGAATGCTATGTATAGGTAAAAGAGGTTAATTCCCTTGTAAAAATGAAATAACCCTCTATATTTGGTAGGATATTGACGTAATGAGAATTTATGTTATTATTAAATATAGATATATGAGTAGTTACTCATGTTAATATGTTCATATATTGAAGTTTTAGAGTATATTAAAACATTCTTAGTAAACTTGTTTATGACTATTTTATTTACAATATGGTATGTATCATTTTTATAGACCGATGTTTAGATGTATATTTAAGTATATAGATACAAAATATAGTACGGATTTGTAATAATCTAGTAAGTTGTAAGATCAGATATATGTATCTACAGAGTAGAAAGGCTTGTGAATATGAGCGTAAAAAAACAAGAATTTGATATTACAGGTATGCACTGTGCAGCTGTGTAAAACGCGTTGAAAACGTCGTTTCTAAAGTTGAGGGCGTAGAATCGGTTAAGGTCAACCTCTTAACTCGAAAGGGGAGCGTTGAATATAAAGATGGCGCTACTATAGATTCACAACAGATTATTGATGCCATTACGAATATTGGTTTTGGTGCTGCAGAAGCAGACGAAACAAAGCAAGAAATAGAAAAGGTTAACTTAAAAACCTCATATTACACGCCTTATTATTGCCGCCTGTATGGCGGTACCGATGATGATTAATATGACGTTACATCGATTTGGTATTCAGGCATTGCCTGTATGGGTAGAGTTTGTTCTTGCTACTATTGCTCAGTTCGGTCCTGGTCTCATGTTCTATAAGAGTGCTTGGAGCGCTGTAAAAAATGGAGCGCTTACGATGGATGTGCTCGTTGTAATGGGTACGACGGTAGCCTATTTATTCAGTATCTATAACTGGCAATTTTATCCTGAACTAGGCCCTCATGGAATTTACTTTGAAACCTCTGCATGGCTCATTACATTCATCCTTCTTGGTAAGCTGTTAGAAGAAATTGCAAAGGGTCGTACCTCTGAAGCACTTCAAAAATTGATTGCTTTACAACCTGCAACAGCTCATGTGTTGTGTGATGGAGAATTTGTGGACATCCCTACATCTAAGGTGTAGCAGGCGATATTTTACAGGTTCGAGCAGGCGAAAAAATTCCAGTAGACGGTACGATTACTGATGGCTACCTCCACCGTAGACGAGGCTATGCTGACCGGTGAAAGCTTACCGGTAGAAAAACAAGTTGGTTCTGAAGTTATTGGTGCTACTATAAACCTAAGTGGTGCTTTTACCATGGAAGCTAAGCGTATCGGTTCTGATACGATGTTGTCTCAAATCATCAAGGTTGTAGAAGAGGCACAAACATCCAAGGCTAGTATTCAACGCATTGCAGATATTGTGGCGCAATACTTTGTGCCTACAGTAATCGGTCTTGCTATCGTGACGGGTCTCGTATGGTATTTCATCATGGGCGACTCCCTCAATGTGGCGCTCATTAATGCAACAGCCGTACTTGTTATCGCTTGCCCTTGTGCTCTTGGCCTTGCCACACCAACATCTATCATGGTTGGCTCTGGTCTGGGTGCAGAACATGGTGTACTTATCAAGAGTGCTGAATATCTTGAAAAAGCAGGTAAACTAGATGCTGTTGTTATGGATAAAACAGGCACCCTCACACAAGGTGTGCTAGATGTGACGGCTTTCAAAAATTATAGTGGCGATGAAAGTAAAAATATGTCCATTATGATGGCCCTTGAGAGTGGCACATCTCATCCAATTGCAAAGGCTATGGTCTACTACGGTGAAGATCAGGGATATAAAGGTAAGGATATTGAACTAGAAAGTTTTGGTGATGTACCTGGTAAAGGACTACAAGGGGCATATCAAGGCGTATCTGTACAACTTGGGCACAGTCGTTGGATGAATGAACTAGGTTATGATTTAACTGCGGTTCAAGAAGATATTTTACAATTTGAAGAACAAGGTGCTTCTGTATCTGTTCTAGCTGTAGATGGAGTTGTTAGTGCTTTGTGGGCTGTAGAAGACGAATTACGTCCAGAAACTATTGAGGTTGTAAAAGAGTTACATGCTCAAGGTATTGATGTATGGATGCTTACTGGTGATAATCGTCGAACTGCTCAATATATTGCTAAACAGGCGGGTATCTCTCATGTTATAGCTGAAGTATTGCCTCAAGACAAGGCTAGTAAGGTAAAAGAATTACAAGATAAAGGTCTTGTAGTGGGGATGGTTGGTGACGGTATCAATGATGCTCCTGCTCTCGTTACGGCAGATATTGGTTTTGCTATTGGCAGTGGTACAGATATTGCGGTAGAGGCGGCGGATATCGTTCTCGTACGAAATGACTTGCATACCTTGGTACAAGCAGTACGACTCAGCCGTAAGACAATGACCAATATTAAACAAAACCTATTCTGGGCATTGATCTTTAACTGTATCGGTATTCCGTTAGCCGCAATAGGTGCATTAAATCCAATGATTGCGGGTACAGCGATGGCATTTAGCTCTGTAACAGTCGTAGGTAACTCGCTTCGTTTGAAACGAGCAAAAATCTAATTGATATATGATATAAAATAAAAACAGCATCTATACAATTGTATAGGTGCTGTTTTTAACTTGTTCCATTCTGTTGCAAATATTTTAATTCCTATAAACTCGGTATTTTTATAGTACACATCATCTGCTATACTGAGTATAGTTATTTGTTTAGTAAGAGAGGATTTTGGCTATGAAATTAAAGACTCGTGATATAGTATATATTGGCTTTATTGCCGCTTTGTGTGCAGTAGCAACAACAATTCGCATTGAAATACCTGGTGGAGCCATGGTGCATCTTGGTTCAGCGGCTCTCTTTACGACATCAATTCTATTTGGTGGTTTATATAGTGGTTTAGGCGCGGCAATCGGCTCTGCACTTTTTGATCTCTTTGGTGGTCATACACAATACATCGTGTTTTCTTTCTTTATTAAAGGGATTGCAGGCCTTATTGTAGGTGGTTTGACTGCAGGTTATTTGCCACCATCTATTAATAAACCTACTGCATCCTTTAGTCGAATCTTGGTAGCTCTTATCATCGGTGCGATTTGGACAGCTTTTGGCTACTTCCTTGCATGGTGGTTTGTTCTTGAAAGTGCGGTCGTAGCAGCTAGCAAAATTCAATACTCCTTGATTACAAGTGCTGCAGGTATTGTGGTGGCTATCGTGTTAACGCCGAAATTACAAACAGTAGTACGTAGACTATTTACAAAAAATTAATGGAGAGAACAATTGTAGATTCTATATGAAAGTGACTTAATAATGGGTGTTATTAATAGATTACATCATAGTAGACAGAGGTTTTTATGAAAGTTCTAAATTTAGATCACCTAGTTATCACAACTGCAGACTTGAAGCGATGTCTTTATTTTTACGGAGATATTCTTGGAATGGATATAGTAGAACGGGATGGGAGATATGCCATATTTTTTGGCAATCAAAAGTTTAATATTCATACGAAACCTGCAGAATTTCTCCCTGCCGCAGAAAAACCTACGTATGGCAGCCTAGATATATGCCTTGTAGTTGAAGAGCCTATAGACGTTGTAAAATGTGATATAGAGGAAAAAGGGTATCCCATAGAACTTGGTCCTGTAGCTCGTCATGGAGCACAAGGGGACATGAAAAGCATTTACTTAAGAGATCCTGATGGGAATTTAGTAGAACTTTGCCATTATAATCTGTAGCATTTCAAGTTAAGGTATATAAATCGTACTTTATTTTTTTAATAGTTAAAGAGCGCACATTAGCATAATTTTATTAGCTAATGTGCGCTCTTTTATTACTTTTAGTGTATATCAATTGTTTAGTACATTAAAAATTACAAAGATCATTTAGGTTTTCGGACATGGTAGGGTGTGTGAAAATTTGATTTTTGAAATATGTATATGGAATGTTATTATCCATAGCCATTTTAATTAAGTTAATCAATTCTTCTGCGCCTTGGGAATAGAGTGTAGCGCCCAGGATTAAGTCGTTATCCGCATCCACAACAATTTTAAAGGCGCCTTTTAAATAGTCGTTTACATGTGCTCTAGGCATGGTAGATACGAGCATTTCTTTCGTTTTAACCGTATATCCTTGGTTGATTGCATCTTCTTCTGTAAGACCTACACGAGAAAGTGGAGGTGTTAAGAAAGTAGTATAAGGAATATTTTTAGGATCTTTTAAGGTATATTGGTTGTTACCTGTAAGTGCGCCAAATACGATACGGAAGTCATCAAGCGATACATATGTGAATTGCGGTCCACCGTTTACATCACCGACTGCGTATACACTAGGGACGGAGCTTTCACAAGTATCATTAATACAATAAGCACCGCGTTCGTTAGTAGTGATGTCCGTATGTTCTAAACCGATATTAGCTGTATTGGCTTTTCGACCTGTAGCGTATAGAACAGCATCAAAAGTATACTTTTGATTATTAGCGGTGATAACTGGTTTGTCGCCATCATTGGATACAGAGTCTAATGTCACATTATTAAGAATAGTAAGACCTTGCTCAGTTAAGTACTCTGTAGCTAGTTCTTGATCGATAGGTTCTTCGCGTTTTAAGATGCTAGATTCGATGTTGAATACAGTTACCTTAGCACCAAGTTTTGCATATAGACTTGCAAATTCAAGACCGATAGGACCAGCGCCGATAACGCCTAATGTACTTGGTTGAGTAGGTAATTGTTGAATCTCGGTACTATTATAGAAACCAGTAGCTGTATCGATGCCAGAAATATTAGGTTTAATCGTTACAGCACCGGTGTTAATAACGATAGTGTCAGCAGATAATACAATCTTATCCTCGCCAGCGGTAACGGCGATTTCTTTATTGCTAATGAATGCACCATGCCCGGTATAGACATCGACATGTTCATTTGTATCTAACATACCGAAGTTTTATTGCGTAAGCGAGATGTAACAACCTCGCGTTGATTTAATACTTGATCGTATGATAAGCCTTTTGATGCGGCATGATCATCGTCTTAGTAGGGATACATGCGATATTAATACATGTACCACCGTACATCAGTGGATTTTCTTCAATCATGGCTACGGATTTGCCTATAGAGCCAAATTTTGCGGCTAAGGTTTTGCCGGCCTTGCCAAAACTTAAGACAATAATGTCATATTGTTTGGTATTCATACAATACCTCCTATTTTTATATTGAAAATATTAGATATCGATATTATAGCACATTGTAATAGATATAAAAGTAGAAAATAGAAATTCTGTGTTTCTTCCGTACTACAGCAATTAATTAAGTGTGTTAAGTATTTCTACTTGACACAATCTTTTTATATGCTGTAGTATATGTAAAGTAATATGACTTGACAGTGATGGAGGTGGCGAAATGGAAGAACGAGTACTCATGAGTTTGCTCTTAGATTTCTATGGGCCATTGTTGACGGACAAGCAACGCATGTCCTTACAACTTCACCACGAAGATGATATGTCTCTTGGCGAGATTGCTGAGGAGTTAGGTGTATCACGACAGGCTGTACACGATAACTTACAACGTGCTCGACACATTTTAAATGATTACGAATCTAAATTGCACTTGGTGGCACAATATGAACAACGGGAAGGCTTGCTTTCACAGTTGAAAGCAACCTTGCCTAAAGAGGTATTGGCCGAAACTAAGGTGCAACAAGTATTGGCGCAAATGGAGGGATATTATGGCATTTGATAGCTTGTCAGAAAAACTGCAAGAAGCCTTTCAATCCTTAAAGGGAAAGGGCAAAATTACTGAAGATGATGTCAATCTTGCGTTGCGTCAGGTACGTACGGCTCTATTAGAAGCAGACGTTAACTTTATGGTAGCGAAGGACTTTGTTAAGTCCATTAAGGAAAAGGCCCTCGGTGAAGAGGTGTTCGGTTCCTTGAACCCTGCTCAAACGGTTATTAAAATCGTAAATGATGAATTAACAGCTCTCTTAGGTGGTACGCAAAGTCGTATCATGATTTCCAGCAAGCCTCCAACTATTATCATGCTCGTTGGTTTGCAAGGTGCTGGTAAAACTACAACTGCTGGTAAACTAGCTGTATACCTACGTAAACAAGGTAAGCGTCCGATGCTCGTAGCTGCCGACGTATATCGCCCAGCTGCGATTACTCAGTTGCAAGTAGTAGGTAAGCAAATTGATATTCCAGTATTTGCAGATGAAACACCTGGTGCGAATCCAGTAGATATTGCGCGTCGCGCCGTAGAGCAAAGCACACATATGCTGAAAGATGTTGTTATCATCGATACCGCAGGTCGTTTGGCTATAGATGAAGTCCTTATGGATGAGTTGTCCAACATTAAAGCTGCTGTTCGACCTCATGAAATTTTACTCGTTGTAGATTCCATGATCGGTCAAGATGCGGTAACAACAGCGCAAACATTTAATGAGAAATTAGGTGTTGATGGTGTTATTCTTACTAAACTCGATGGTGATGCACGTGGTGGTGCCGCACTATCTATCAAAGCCGTAACAGGCTTGCCAATTAAGTTCACTGGAGTGAGCGAAAAAATGGATGGTTTTGATGTATTCTATCCAGACCGCATGGCTTCTCGTATCCTAGATTTGGGCGACTTTAAAACATTGATTGAAAATGTTCAAGGTGCCATCGATGAAGAAGAAGCTCGTGAAATGGCTAAGAAAATGGCGAAAAATAATTTCACCTTGGATGACTTCTTAAAACAGATGAACCAGGTGAGAAAGTTAGGTCCATTACAAAATATTATTGGCATGTTGCCAGGTATGGGGCAAGTTAAGGATCAATTAAAAGACCTTGATTTGAATAGTAAAGAGGTGCGTCGTATTGAGGCTATCATTACATCCATGACGGCGGCAGAGCGAGAAAACCCAAGTATTCTTAATGGTTCTCGCCGCAAGCGTATTGCTTTAGGTTCTGGTACACAGGTTCAAGATGTAAATCGCTTGTTGAAACAATTTGAAGAAGCGCGGAAGATGATGAAGCGCATGCAAGGTTTACGTGGCGGTAAGGGCGGCTTCCCTGGAATGCCTAAATTACCGTTTATGTAATACATGGGCAGGGGCGCTGAACTTGTCCATTTACATCAGTATAAGGAGGTGAATTTCACAATGTTAAAAATTCGTTTGACTCGTTTAGGTGCTAAAAAAGCTCCTTTCTACCGTATCGTAGTTGCTGACGCACGTGCTCCACGTGAAGGTCGTCCTGTTGACACAATTGGTCAATATGATGCTACTAAACAACCAGCTATCGTTAATGTAGACGAAGAAAAAGCTTTGGCTTGGTTAGCTAAAGGTGCTCAGCCTACTGACACTGTTCGCTCCTTGTTCAAAAAACAAGGCGTTATGCAAAAATTTGCAGACGCTAAAAAGTAATTAATAGAGAGGCATACTGTGATGATAGAATTAATTTCATTAATTGCGAAATCATTAGTGAAGCAGCCTGATGCCGTTTCTGTTACCATGGTCCAAAAGGGAAATGTTGAAGTTTACGAACTTCATGTAGCCCCAGAGGATATGGGCAAAGTCATCGGAAAGCAAGGTAGAATTGCAAAAGCGATTCGATCTGTGGTGAAAGCGGCGGCTATTAAAGAGAACAAAAAGATATCTGTTGATATTGTCTAAAAGGGAGTATTCCGATGGAAGAAATGACATTACGTGTCCCTGTAGCAGTAAAAGCAAAAGTAACAGACGACTTGAAAGCGAAAATTATATCCGATCTTGAAACTCGCCTTGATATGGTAAATAAAGATTTGGAAGCAATTGAGTTTCAAGCCCAACGTATTTTGGCTGATGCAGCTAAAGTTGATGCTACAAGTCTTACTGCTATTCGTCAACAAATCGACGAAGAAAAAAAATAAACGCTTGGCTTTCAAAGAAGAAGTAACAGCTAAATTGAAGGATGCTAAGGAGTTGTCTTTAGGAACTGAAATTCCTCAAGGTACATTAGAGCAAACAGTTACCGTTAAAATCGGGGATAATTTGGATGCCTTGATGGGCGCTGAAATCCTATTAGAAGACGGTAAGATCGTTGCGTTTCGTCAATAATGAAGCATAACGATTTCATCACAATAGGTGTTATCATCGCCCCGCACGGTGTGCGGGGTGATCTTCGTATTATGCCTCAAACCGATTTTCCAGAACGGTTTATGCATATGGATGCCTGTTACATCGATGGTAAAGAATACCACGTTGCATCCGCACGATTTCACAAGCAATTTGTTTTAGCATCTTTTAAGGAAATTCCTGATCGCAATACGGCTGAACTATTCAGTAAGAAAGAAATTCAAGTGCGTCGTGAAGATTTAGTGGAATTGCCAGAAGGTCGTTACTATATTTTTGATATCATTGGTCTTGAGGTACAAGATACTATGGGTAACGTGCTTGGCACAGTTACTGATGTATTACAACCAGGTGCTAATGATGTCTATGTGGTTTCCAAAGATGGGGAACCAGATCAATTATTTGCAGCCATTGAAGAGGTCGTTAAAGACATCAATGTGAAAAATAAATTGATGATCGTAGATCCGCCTGAATGGATATAATCATTTGGGCGGTTTTGTTTTTATCTACATATAGGTATATTATCGTAAAAGTTATATAATATAGCTATATATAGATAATACTAATGAGTTAATGTGAGTTAATAAGTACAGGGGACGGTCTATGCGTATCGATATTGTATCTTTATTTCCTGAGTTTTTTGATGCTTTTTTTAGTCATTCCATCATAAAACGGGCTATCGAAGCGAAACGCTTATCTATGGGCGTAACTAACCCTCGGGACTTTAGTCATAATAAACATGGTCAAGTAGATGATACGCCGTATGGTGGCGGTGCTGGCATGCTTATGATGGCACCTCCTATTTTTGAAGCTGTAGAATCCGTTATTGCTCAATATGATAGTGATATTAATGATACTTATACCACAGAGATGTGTGATGAAATGAGTCTTATTGGTAATTCTAATGAAAGTATACGACGCCGCATTATCTTTATGGGACCTACAGGACAGCCTTTCACACAGGAGAAGGCTCGTGAATTGGCTAGCTATGATCAAGTGGTCCTTATTTGTGGTCATTATGAAGGTGTAGATTATCGCGTAGAGAAACATCTTGTAGATGAAACGATTTCTATTGGTGACTATGTATTGACTGGTGGTGAGTTGCCAGCCATGGTAGTTGCTGATGCGGTAGCTCGTATGATTCCAGGTGTGTTAGGTGCAGCTAGCGGAGCACAAGAGGACTCTTTTTATCAGCCTCTTTTAGAATGCCCTCAATATACAAAGCCACCAGAATTTAGAGGCTGGATTGTACCGGAGGTATTGCGTAGTGGTCATCATAAAAATATTGCCGCATGGCGTCAAAAGGCAGCGTTAAAACGAACACGATTATTGCGCCCTGATTTATTGGAACGGTCATTAACAAAAGAAGAAATTAAGCTTTTAAAAGAAATTGTAGAAGAAGAGTCTGAAAGATATAAAGGTGAAATATGAAAGCTTTAGTATTAGGCGCTACTGGTGCAGTGGGTCATCATATTGTGGATATGTTAATCGATAATCATGAAGTCCAAGAAGTTCATGTGTTCGTACGTCGTCCTGTTACGTTTACATTTCCAAAGGTAACAGTCCATATTGTTAATTTTGATGAACCTCGTGAGTGGGCTCATCTCGTAACAGGTGATATTCTATTTTCTGCTATGGGCACAAATCGTAAACAAGCGGGCACTAAAGAAGCTCAATGGATGGTAGATTATACCTACCAGTACGAAATGGCGCGCATCGCTGCTCAAAATGGCGTTAAAAAATATGGTTTAGTATCTTCCTTGGGAGCAAATCCAAAATCTCCATTCTTTTACTTGTCTATGAAAGGGCAGCTGGAAGAGATCATTTTGGAACTGCCTTTTGAAGCGATTGTCATTGCTCGTCCAGCTACGTTGATTCGTGAAGAACCGAAATTAATAGAGCGCATTAGTTGCGCTGTGTTCGGCGTAATCAATAAGGCTCATATATTAATGAGTCAAGAACCTGTAAAGACTGCTGATGTAGCCAATGTGCTTGTAAAAGCTACCTTAGGTCAGCAATATGGTATTTCTATTCTTGAAAATGAAACGATTCATGAACGTGCAGGCTACTTTAATGATTAATTTCATTAAATCCCGTTTAGGAGCGAGAGTAGTTTAGACACGTATTAAGTTATTGCTACTCTAATGAGGTTGTTTATGGAGTTTAATTGTTACGATGTCCTTGAGGTTCAGGGCAGCCGTTATGTAATAACTGAAAAAATTAAATATAATGAGATTATTCCAAAAGCTGATCAGGAACAAGCCTATAAGGCTAAGCCGTCTATGCAAAAGTCGCCTGGTGATTATTGGCATGAATATGGTCTTGAGGCTGTAGAGGGAACAGATAAAATATGGGTCACTATTGAATACAATGATAATGAGTGGTGTACCGTATCCAGAACATCCTATCGTAAACGTACTCCTAAGGGCTTTACCTTACATCAAATCGGCTTAGAAAAGGTTGTAGCAGTTGATGGTGATAGTGGCGCCTCTGTAGGTGATCGGGCAGGGTATAAGGAATATCAATTGCCTTGTGAAGGCGGTGCTAGTGTATTTTTTGAAGAAAACTGGTTTAAAGGCGAAATAATGTTTGCCGAAGGCGCACGTGTACCTTTGACACATATTCGTCTCTGTAAAGATGCAGCGGCTGATGCGATTAATAAAAAGATGCGTAATAAGCGTCTGAAAAAGCGAGTTGGAGCAATCGCTGGTGCAATTGGCTATGCCGTGCTATTTATGGCTTTTCTTGTCGGAGTTGATAAGGATTATAATTGGCATGACGTACGTGCTACGTTCGGGCTTCCATACACCGCAAAAGAGCATATACATGATACATCAGTGTATTATACTAAGGCGGATTCGGATAATGAATATGTATATACTTCTAGTTTAGATCCTGTTAGTACAGCATTAGATTTAATTGATTCTTTAGACGGAGATATAAGAAATGAAGGTGAGGACTTACAAGAAGGGCGTGAAGTCATTGTATTCTATGATGCTAAGTCTGCTTATATTATCACTAACGTAGATGGGCAAACTCGCGTTAAGGTGTGCGAGCCAGGAAAGTTGACGCCAGAGGAACAGGAGCTCATTAATGGTACAATGCGAAAGTCACATGTGCTTGATTCCTATGCCTATATGGTTCGCCAACGGGATAGTGGTGGGCGCGATAAATTCCTTAATGTACACAATCTTAATGAAGCCGATAAGGCTTATATGTTTAACCGGTGACTATGAATATAAAGGGACAATATTAGGAGGTTTATCATGATTTTTATTCCTGATGTATTATTGACGATTTTTTATGCTTGTTTTGGAATTTTCTTAATGTTAACTGCCAACACTGTTATTGATTTCTTTGTACCTGGTAAATTTAGTGAAGAAATTAAACGTGGTAACTGTGCTGTAGCATGGCTATCTGCAGGTTCCTTTATCGGTATTGGTGAAATATTGCGTGCTGTTATCATGTCTCCTGTAGTTACTACAGCAGATACTTCTTTATTGCACGGTGTAGTAGCAAGTGTTGTTTATGCTATTCTTGGTATTGTACTATTTGTAACAGGATATATGTTTATTAATTTATGGCATCGTAAATATAATTTATCTGAAGAGATTATGCGTGGTAATACAGCTGCCGGTATCCTCGTATTTGGTATCTTCGTAGGGCTTGCTCTCGTTGTTAGTGGTGCTGTGCACTAAGGGAGTGTCCTATGTATAAGCCAAGTAAGAAAACCATATACATAACGAGTGCCTTTGCCGCTGTAGCGGGCATCGTTGGTGTGTCTTCATACTGGAATGACATCGCTTATGCCGTATGTGATACAATCTACCCGGAAGCAAATGATGGGGAAGTTCGATTAAAGGATAATCAAGGAAATCGCTACTCTTTATTGAATCATGGTGATGGTAAAGAAACAGCTTTGTTTGATGATGACCGATCCGTTACCTTTCACCGAGAAACGGATGGCAGTTTAGTGTGGGATGCTGGTTTAGCCAGTCTTTTGCCAAGTATTGCAGCAGGTTACTATATTTTCCATGGATTTAATCCACCTACAGCTCGTATGGATGGACGAACTATGACATACCGCGTAGCAGCTCCATTAAAACCGTATGAGGAGACTAATGTATATACAGCATCAGGTTCAAATCTGCATAGTTCTGTGGGGCGACGTACTTATCAAGACTATGAGAAGCGAAGAAGTCAAAAAGCCTCTTCTATAGGTCAAAAATCGGGCTTTGGTAGTGCTGGTGTACGCTCTGGTGGCTCGTGATGGGAGGCGATACTATGCAATCCTATATTGATGCGTTAGATACGCACATACTGCCTTTTGTAGATTATGAAGGATATGACGATAGATATCCAACGCTTTCAGTACAATCTTTTCCTGCTGAGTTCTACGATGAAATACGACATGCATCTCGTATGTTATTCCAAATATTTTATAAGGCTACTAAGGTTTTTCAGCAGGCACCTGATGAGTTTGTCCTCAATATGGATATGCCGGAAAATCTGATTCCTTATCTTCACCGAGGGAATCCGTTAGGCCTACCTACGTGGCTGTCTCGTTTTGATTTTGTTCTCGATACACAGGGGCGATTGCGCATGGTGGAAATGAATGCGGATACCCCCTGTTTTTTGATTGAAAGCTATTATGCTAATGAGGTAGGCGCGCATTATTTTGATAAAGAGCATCCCAATGCAGGGGCTAGAGATGAGCTAGAACGTTTTTTGAAACGTGTTTATGAACGCACTTCTCAGGAAAATAGTAAATATAATACGATAAAAAGTGGTGGACCTAATCCATTTGTGTTTGCTTGCTTTCATGATTATTTAGAAGATTTAGGAACTACTAAGTTTTTAATGAATACGATGAAATCCGCTTGTCCTGAGGCGGATGTACGATTTTTATCATTTTATGATATGGTCATTGATGATGAAGGGATTTTACTTCCTGATGGCGGGCATGCATCAAACCTGTATCGTTTGCATCCAATGGAATTATTGATCGATGAGACGACGGCAACGGGGGAACCGTTAGGTGAGATGTTCCTAGATTTATATAATGAGGGGCGGTTTAATTTATTTAATCCTCCAGAAGCGATCATTTTGCAAAATAAGTCATTTATGTCCTTGGTGTATGCCTTATACTTGACTAATCAATTTTTTACAGGTCCTGAGCGAGATATTATTGAACGTTATTTGACTCCGTCCTATTTTGAAAGTGATTTCCCGAACCTTGATGATGCGCTATATATTCAAAAAGAAATTTGGGGACGTGAAGGACGAAATATTCAGGTTGTTCAAAAGTGTGGAGACCAAGCCGAACTATACATGGAAAAATTTGTAGATAACTATGATGATATAGTTTGTCGGGACAGTAAAAAAGTTATGTATCAAGATTTTATACATCAGAAATGTTTTACCCATACTGTCGACAGTGGTACGAAAGAGGGGTATCTAACATTATCTTGCTTTATGCTAGGAGACCAAGCGTCTGCGGTAGGTTGTCGTTTTTCTCCTGATGAAATTGCAGGCACAGAAGCTTATTTTGTACCGCTTTTAATCGATTAATTTTATTTTGTATTTTTTATTGATGTGGAGATATAAGGCGTTGGCTAATTTATATATCGGACTTGTTCATTATCCTATTATGAATAAACATAAAGAGGTCATTACGACGGCTATTACAAATTATGATATACATGATATTGCACGAGCATCCATTACCTATGATGTGTCTAAATATTTTGTCATTCATAACATTCCAGCTCAATGTGAGTTAGTAAGTACTATTATGGAGCATTGGAAATCTGGCTTTGGTTCTGCCTATAATCCTGATCGTAAGGATGCTTTCACAGTCGTGGAATTGGTAAACTCAATTGCGGTAGCGGTGCGAACAATTGAAGATATAGAAGGAATGAGACCGATTGTAGCTACAACAGATGCTCGCACCTATGATAATACGATTTCCTATGCACGGATGCGTGAACACCTTGAAAATGAGGGGCGCCCTGTGTTAGTATTATTTGGTACCGGTTATGGTATGACAAAAGAAACGATGGAAAGCTTTGACTATATTTTAGAACCTATATATGGCCATGGTGAATACAATCATTTATCCGTGCGTAGTGCCGTATCAATCATCTTAGATCGGCTGCGGGGCGAAGCATGGTGGAATAAATAGGAGGCGTCTATGTCAGGACATTCTAAATGGGCAAATATTAAACATAAAAAAGGTAAAACCGATGCGTTAAAAGCTAAAATGGCTACGAAAATCGGCCGTGAAATCACCGTTGCAGCACGCATGGGCGGTGCAGATCCGACGGGGAATATGCGTTTGAAATTAGCACTTCAGAAAGCTCGTGAAAATAACATTCCTAAGGATAATATTCAACGTGCTATCGATAAGGGCGTAGGCACAACGGATATGAACGCATACGAGGAAATCGTATATGAAGGCTATGGGCCTGCCGGTGTTGCCGTTACCGTTGAGGTGATGACTGATAATCGTAATCGTGCTGCTGCAGACGTGCGCCATGCTTTTTCTAAACAAGGTGGTAACCTTGGTGAAAGCGGCTGTGTAGGCTGGATGTTCAAATCTAAAGGCGTATTTGTTATCGATAAAAAAGATCATGACGAAGATGAAGTAACTATGCTCGCTCTCGAAGCTGGTGCAGAAGATCTTAAGTCTGAAGATGATGTGTTTGAAATTTATACAACACCAGAAGATTTTGATGCTGTAGAAGCAGCGCTTGCTGATGCGGATATCGAAACTGTAGTAGCTAAAATCACAATGATTCCAGATACAACGATTGAGTTATCTGGTGATGATGCTGTAAAAATGCAAAAAATGCTTGACGTATTGGATGATCTTGACGATGTACAAAACGTATATCACAACGGTATTTTGCCAGACGACGAAGAATAATAAAAAGGAGCACTCTATGGGTGCCTCCTTTTCTATTGGTGAATTAAATTGAAAAATTTTGTAAAAGTTAAGAAAAGTAATAGATTTCTTATATAATTTATACGGAAATTCATGAATTTCGATGTGATATTATGCTATAATAATATAGATTATGTAATGGAGGTAGGCGGTAGCTTATCTCATTTTTAAACTAAGGGGGTTGGGGTGCGTATTATAGGAATTGACCCAGGCACGGCTATATGCGGATACGGCATTATTGACGTGAAGGGCAGCAAACTAACACCAGTAGCCTATGGGGCTATTACAACTCCTAAGGAATTAACTGATTCACAGCGATTGGAAATTCTATTTAATGATCTTAGCGATCTTTTAGAGGAATATAAGCCAGATAAGTTTGGTGTAGAGGAATTATTCTTTAACCGTAATGTAACGACAGCCATTAAGGTTGGACAAGCACGAGGTGTCATCTTATTGGCCGCCGAGCAACAGCGTATTCCACTCTATGAATATACGCCGCTACAAATCAAGCAAGCGGTCACTGGTTATGGCAAGGCTGATAAGAATCAGGTCATTTATATGACGATGAATATTTTGGGGATTCGTGAGAAAATCAAGCCCGATGATACAGCAGATGCATTGGCAGTTGCTATCTGTACGGCTCATAGTTCTCACAATGATAGATTGAAGAGGTTGGTATAATGATAGGGTATGTACGGGGCATCGTAACACATCTCTTTAAAGAGTCTTGTTATGTAGATGTACATGGTGTAGGGTATCGCGTATATGTGCCGACCACTACGCGTCAACAATTGATAGAAGGTCGTGAGGTGACGCTATTCACGTATCTTAATGTACGAGAAGATGCGATGCAACTCTACGGCTTTTGGACGGAAGAGGAATATGAGTTGTTCATACTGCTCATTTCTGTTTCCGGTATCGGTCCCAAGGTGGGGCTTGGCATTTTGTCAGGTATGATACCAGAGGCTTTTAAATTAGCGATTATCAATGGACAGGTGCAACAATTAACTAAGTTACCTGGTATTGGCAAGAAGTCTGCGGAGCGACTTGTTTTAGAATTAAAGGATAAGATTGCTAAGATGACACATATTTCTGCAGAATCACCTGCGGCTATTCAGCCTATTGGTGTCATTGCTAGTGGTGCTGCAGGGGAGGCTATTGAAGCTCTCGTATCATTAGGATACTCCGAACGAGATGTGGCTGATATTGTTGAGTCTTTAGATGATGGTAAGCGCGATGTATCTGAGTTGATTAAAGTCAGCTTGATTGAGCTTGGGAAAGGACGATAAGGATGAATGAAGAAGTACGCCTTGTCGGCAATGGCGAGCACGAAGAGGATATATGGCAATATAGCCTTCGACCTAAGTTCTTTAATGAGTATGTAGGGCAAGAAGAGGCTAAAGGCAATCTAAATGTGTATATTCAGGCTGCAAAGCAACGTGGTGAAGCATTGGATCACGTTTTGCTCTATGGGCCTCCAGGTCTTGGTAAGACTACATTAGCAGGGATTATTGCGAATGAATTGGGTGTTAATTTTCGCATAACTTCTGGTCCTGCTATTGAAAAGTCTGGTGATTTGGCTGCAATTTTAACAAATTTAGATGATCATGATGTATTATTTATCGATGAGATTCATCGCTTGTCCCGTAGCGTAGAGGAAGTGTTGTACTCTGCCATGGAGGACTATGCTATTGATATTATCATCGGTAAGGGGCCAAGTGCTCGAACTGTACGCATTGACTTGCCAAAATTTACTTTGGTAGGTGCCACGACTCGAGCGGGTGCTTTGGCGGCACCTTTACGGGACCGATTTGGTATTATTAATCGGTTGGAATATTATAAACAACCAGAGTTAGAATTTATTGTGACTCGAGCCGCAGAAATACTTAATATTGGTATTGTGCCGACTGGGGCAAGCGAAATTGCGCGTCGTTCACGAGGAACACCGCGTATCGCAAACCGTCTGCTTAAACGGGTACGCGATTTTGCACAAGTCATTGGTGATGGGGTTATCACTCAAGAAATTGCAGATGAAGCATTACAACGTTTATATGTAGACAAAATGGGCCTTGATCGAATCGATCGACGTGTGTTGGAATGTATTATTGAAAAATATGATGGCGGCCCTGTAGGGATTGATACCATTGCGGCGGCCATCAGCGAAGAGAGAGATACCATCGAAGATGTGTATGAACCATATTTGATGCAATTAGGATTTTTAGGACGCACACCGCGTGGGAGGGTGGCTACTAAATTGGCCTATGAGCATTTAGGTATTTCACAGACAGGGAAATAACAATGAAAACGAAACGATTACAATTGATGATAATGGCCACTTTATTTTTAGGTGTAAATATTGGCGGTGCTTCTGTAGCACATGGAGCGACGCTGCAAAATAAAAGTGCAGTGGTAACGAAAAAGCCAACGCCAAAATCAGCAGTATCTAATACAACTGTATCGAAAGTAAATACGACAAAGAAATCTAGTTTTCGTCCACTTGCTACTAAACCAGTTGCAAAGCCGGTCACAACAACTAAAACGGTTTCTAAGTCAACTGCTACATCTACGGTGGCTAAACCTAGTGCAAAACCGGTTAGTGTAGCAAAGCCTGCTACAGCTACAAAGCCGGTAACGACGGCTAAACCAGTTAGTGCAACAAAATCAACTAGTACTGAGAAATCTAGTACTAATGCAACAGCTACGAAATCAGCTACTACAGGTAAAGCTATAACGGCTACAAAACCTGCTGCTTCTGCTACTGCAAAGCCAGCTGCTAAACCTGCAGTTACTGGTGATAAGCCTGTAGCACAAAAAAAGAGCTACCGAAAAAACTGCTACTAAAAAGGTAGTAAAAACAACGGATGTGAATAGCATTCAAGCGAATACAGCAGTTATTACTCACAACAAAGTGGGCTCCGTAGTGACGCCTGCCACAGAACGTAAAGAAAACATGCCAAATGTACGTGTTCTTCTAGGTAATCGTAGCTCCGATGCTACTGTTACCTCTACAGCTAACATGGTTGTGTTGAACAGCGGTAATGGTCAAGTTAGCACAATCAGTGCTAATCGTGGTACATCTATTGGCGTTCGCGGTGGGAAGATTGCTGTAAATGGAAAGGCTATTGATAGTGTGGTTACATTGAAGCCTGCAAGTAGTGATGCACCATTCTTGTTCGAAGGTAAAGGTTATCGTGGTGGACTCACATTACGTGCCAATAATGGAACCATGATGGTCATTAACTCTGTGCCACTTGAGGATTACTTGTATGGTGTTGTCCCTCAAGAGGTAGTACCGTCTTGGCCTGCTGCCGCATTAGAGGCACAAGCTGTAGCAGCTCGCACCTATGCTCTTCATACGATGGAACAAAATAAAGGAAAACTCTATGACGTGAGTAGTTCCACGGATTATCAAGTTTATAGTGGTGTGAGTGGCGAATCTCAAGCTACCACAAATGCGGTAAATAAAACTAAAGGCGTAGTTATGCTTTATGACCAACGTCCTATTAATGCTTTATTCCATTCCGATGGCGGCGGTTATACAGAGGATAGTGTAAATGTTTGGGGTAGTGATGTGCCTTACTTGAAAGGGGTAAAAGACTTTAGTACTGGTACATCTACATCGAACTGGACTGTTACTACCTCTCGTCAAGCGCTTGAAAGCAAGCTTAATGCGGCAAGTAAAGGGGTAGGTAAATTGAAGAGCATTCAATTGACTCCTCTTGGTAAACCAGGGCAAACAAACATCTGACCGCGGTGTATCTGGTCGCATCAAAAGTGCAACTTTCATAGGCACCTCTGGAAAAACTACTGTAGGTGGTGATGCATTGCGTAGCATTTTAGGTTTAAAATCTACACTATTTGATTTTTATGTAAATCATAATCCTGCTAAAGGCACGGGTAAGGCATATCATAGCTTTACTGGCAAGAATGATACTGTCTATATTAAAGGCCACGGTTGGGGACATGGTCTTGGTATGTCTCAATGGGGCGCTGCAGAAATGGCAAAGCGTGCTAACCCTGGAGATACAAATTATTATCAAACTATTTTGCGTCACTACTATAGTGGCATTACATTGAAGAAAATGTATTAATAAGGATAACGATGAAAGTTACAGATTTTGATTATGAATTGCCAGAGGAACTGATTGCTCAACATCCCGTAGAGCCTCGTGATACCGCACGGCTTTTAACCTTGGATAAGGTAACTGGTGAAGTGAGTCATAAAGAGCATTTTTACGATTTGCTTGAAGAACTTCACGAAGGTGATGTACTCGTATTTAATAATACGAAGGTTATTCCTGCGAGATTATATGGCCATCGGCAAGGCTCTGGTGGCAAAGTGGAGGTACTGCTACTAACCCCATGTGGTAAAAAACCGTTGGGAATGCCTTGTTAAACCTGGTAAAAAATGCCCTGTTGGTCAAGTTATTGAGTTTGATGACCGCCTGAGAGGGATTGTGATTGATAAGACTGAATTTGGAGGTCGTATCATTGAGTTCACTTGCAATGGTGTATTTGATGATATCATTCAAGAGATTGGCGAAATGCCATTACCTCCATATATTCATGAAAAACTAGAAGATAAAGATCGTTATCAAAACGGTATATGCTAAGGAGAAAGGCTCTGCTGCGGCGCCAACTGCAGGACTTCACTTTACACCTGAGCTATTAGAAAAAAATAAAAGCTAAAGGCGTGGAGCTTGAGTTTGTAACCTTGCACGTTGGATTAGGTACCTTTAGACCTGTATCGGCAGAGACTATTGAAGATCATGAGATGCATAGTGAGTTCTTCGTTGTATCTCAAGAAATCGCTGACCGTATTAATGCAGCTAAGAGAAACGGACGCCGTATTATTGCGGTAGGTACTACATCTGTACGTACACTCGAGTCTGCTACGAATGATGACGGTATACTACAAGGTATTAGTGGATGGACTCAAATCTTTATCTATCCTGGTTATAAATTTAAGATGATTGATGCATTGGTAACGAATTTCCATTTGCCTCAATCTACATTGTTAATGTTGATTAGTGCATTAGCCGGTCGTGAACATTGTTTAGCGGCCTACGAAGAAGCTGTTCGAGAACGTTATCGCTTCTTTAGCTTTGGCGACGCTATGTTTATTCGTTAGGAGGGACCATGGCGAGTATTACTTATGAATTACAAAAGACATGTCCTCATACGGGGGCACGGGCAGGTTTACTGCACACGCCACACGGTACCTTCCAAACACCTATGTTTATGCCAGTAGGTACACAAGCTACGGTAAAAACCATGACACCAGAAGAATTAAAAGCTATGGGTTCTCAAGTTATTTTGAGCAATACTTACCATTTATTCCTTCGTCCAGGCCCAGAACTTGTGGAAGAAGCTGGGGGCTTACATAAATTCATGAATTGGGATCAAGCTATTCTTACTGATAGTGGTGGTTTCCAAGTATTTAGTTTAGGGGATATGCGTAAAATTACTGAGGAGGGTGTAACATTTAGATCCCATATTGATGGTTCTAAACAGTTCTTATCTCCGGAGGTGGCAACAAAGGTACAAGAGCAATTAGGTTCTGATATTGCGATGGCTTTTGATGAATGCATTCCGTATCCTGCCGATCATGATTATGCGAAGCGTTCTACGGCGCGTACAACTCGTTGGGCTCATCGTTGCCAAGAGGCTAGAAACGCTCATGACCGCCAAGGTATGTTTGGGATTGTTCAAGGTGGCATGTACAAAGATTTGCGCAAACAAAGTGCGGAAGAGCTAGTAGCTATGGACTTTGAAGGGTATAGTATCGGTGGTTTATCTGTAGGGGAGCCTCATGAGTTAATGAATGAAATCCTCGAATATACGACCCCATTATTGCCGACAAATAAAGCTCGTTATTTGATGGGTGTTGGTACTGCGGACTGTCTTGTAGAGGGCGTAGCACGTGGCATCGATATGTTTGACTGTGTATATCCTACTCGTGTTGCTCGTAATGGGATGGCCATGACTTGGACTGGTCGCCTTAATATTCGAAATGCTCAGTTTGCTCATGATTGGGGTTCTTTAGAAGAAGGTTGCCAATGTTATACATGTAAAAATTATTCTCGCGCTTATATTCGTCATTTGTATAAGGCGGAAGAAATTTTGGCATTACGTCTTGTAACGTATCATAATCTTTACTTCTTGTTAGAGTTTATGCGTCAAATGAGACAAGCTGTTTTAGAAGATCGGTTCCCACAATTTAGAATGCAATTTTGGGATAGTTTCAAAAAATAGTAATTAAGTCTAGTCAAATTTTTATTAGGTGGCTATACTAGAAAAGAAATACATATTTATTAATCTAGGAGGATAACATGGGAGATATTCAACAAATCTTGCAAACCAGCTGGCCTATTTTGCTAATGGTAGTAATCTTTTACTTTTTATTGTGGCGTCCACAAAAGAAACAACAAAAAGAGCGCGCTAACTTGTTAGGTAGCTTAAAAAAAGGCCAAAAAATTGTTACTATTGGTGGTATTTACGGCGAAATTGTTGAACTTGATGACGAAAAAGTCAAAGTACAGGTATCTGAAAAAGTTGAATTAACATTTGCTCGTACAGCAGTTGCTAACGTACTGTCTAAGAAAAACAAGGAAGAAAAATAATGAATACAAAGGAAGCAGTGCGCCAGGCGTGTAAGTCTCAGCGCGCTGCTTTATCCGTTGCTGATTGTAGGCAGTGGACGCCGATGTTGACGAATCAAATCGTTAATAGTCCTGAGTATACATCGGCAAAAAATATTATGGCCTATTTGGCGATGCCCAAAGAGGCCGATTTAGACGATGTGATTCGTCATGCTTTAGAACATGGTAAATCCGTATACGTTCCAGTATGTACCGATAAGACGACTATGATTGCAGTTCGTCTTAAGTCTCTAGAATCTATCACTCGGGGTGTGTTAAATATACGCATTCCCTCTGAGCCATATGATATTATTGATCCACATGACTTGGATTTGATTTTAGTGCCTGGTGCTGGCTTTGACCGTCAAGGTGGTCGTATGGGGATGGGGAATGGGTATTATGATCGATTTCTCAAGGAACTTTCACCAAGTACATTTATGGGCGTATGTTGGGCGGTACAATTATGGGATACACTAATTCCGATGGATGAGCTAGACCAACGGATGAGTAAAATCGTGACGGAGCAAGGCGTTATACATTGTGTATAGCAGAAGGGAGCAACTATTTTGAACGGTAAAGCTATTATCAAGTTTTTAGTAGTCATTGCTGTCATCATTGGTACCTTTGCGTATTGTATTCAACCTTTAGCAGGTTCTTTGAAACAAGGCCTTGATTTACAAGGTGGTACGCATATTGTATTGGAAGCAGAAGATTCTGCGACTGGTACAGCTGACAATGATGCAGTAGAACGGGCGAAGCAAATCTTAGAGCGTCGTATTAATGAAATGGGTTTGTCTGAACCATTGGTACAACGTGAAGGGGCTCGTCGTATTATCATTGAATTGCCAGGTGTAAAAGATCCTGACGAAGCGATTAAACGTATCGGTAAAACAGCGGTCTTGGAATTTAAAAACGACCAAGGTCAAACCGTTATGACTGGTGATGATTTAAAAGATGCTAAAGAAGAGTTAGGTCAAAATAAACAACCACTCGTTGCTATTGAATTAAGCGATGAAGGGGCTAAGAAATTTGCTGATTTAACATCTAAAAATATTGGTCGTCGTATTGCCATTACATTGGATGGTAAAGAATTGACTAATCCTGTAGTACAACAAGCAATTACAGGTGGTAAAGCCACTATCTCTGGTAGTCAAAGTTTAGAAGAAGCTAAAGACTTGGCTATTTTATTACGTTCCGGTGCATTGCCTGTTAAAATTAATGTATTGGAAGTGCGTACAGTAGGTCCTTCTTTGGGGCAAGACTCCAAGGATAAATCTGTTGTAGCCTTCAGTGCCGGTATTGCAATGATCATGATTTTCTTGGTTATTTTATATCGTTTTTCTGGCATCGTAGCTAATATAGCGTTACTTGTATATGTTATGCTCTTATTACTCGTGTTGGGCAAGGGCTTTAATGCGACTATGACATTGCCAGGTATTGCTGGTATTATCTTATCCATGGGTGTTGCGGTAGATGCGAATATTCTAATCTTTGAACGTTTCAAGGAAGAGGTGTTTAGTACTCTGCGTTGATACCACTGCTTT